CGCCGCCGGCCCCGCGCTGCGGCCGGCCTGACACCCGTGTTCCATCGGCGCCGGCGGGGGCGGGGCGGGGGCGCGCGGCGCGGCCGGGGGCGGGCGCTCGTTGCCCCGGCGACGGCCGCCCTTATAAGGGCATGGGGTAGCTGCGCGCCGCTCCGAGCCGTGGGCCGGCGAGAGGGCGGGGCGGGTCGTGCGGCTGACCCTCCTCCACGTGGCCGCGCAGCCTTAACCCCTGCGCGCCCTGTCCCGGCCCGGCGAGCCCGGCGTGGCTCCCGGCAGCCCAGCCCCGGGGGACATCTGCACCCGGCACGCCCTCGCGCGCGCCCCGCACCGCTCGGCGGCGCGGCTGCCAGCTGGAACCGGCCACCCCCCCTTACCCACAGTCTCCCCGGCACGCCCCGCGCTCCGCTCCGGCGAACACCTGGTGCCCCGAGTCTGGGGGTGGGGATGCCACGCTGAGGTCAAGGGGTCCCCTCTCCTTTCAGGCCGCATGGCTCCGGCGTGGCCCGAGGCGGCCGGAAGGCGTGCCAGCCCGCGGCTGTTGTCCTGGGTCCCCTTTCATTTCCTTTCTCTGCTTCACAGAAAGGGCTTGGCCCGGTGATCGACTGGGCCGCAGATGTTTCCCCCGCTGCCCCGGGCCTCCCAGCTGCCGCCGCTCCTCCAGACCCAAGTTTTACTGGAACAAGCATTTATTAAGCACCCTTTGTATGCAGCCTCCCTCTCACCAAGGCACGCATTATTAAGCTCCCTTCAAATTCGCGGCCTGACTCTGGGCCTGTTAATGTGTAACCGGTTAGCCGACTGCAAAAGTTCTTCCTGGTGACTTTTCACCCCTGAGTCTTAGCTGTGCCGGCCAGGCCTGTTCTGCCTCCTTTGAAAGCCTGGTCCAGCGTGGCCAGCCACCAGAGCCCACGGCCAGCTGGGACTCCCTGTGCTCTTTTACTGTTACTCTGCCCGCTCAGGGGCCTTGTGAAAATCTTCCACAAGACTGAACACACACGTAAGGTCTTCAAAGGAAAACTGAGGTTCATGTTTCCGCTAGCCAGATGTGCCCAGCCCAGTGTCTTCCACCTGCCCAAAGAGTCCCCCTGGATATCAAGTGAAGCTTGCAGGAAGGACTAGGGTCAGACTCAAGGAAGGACTTCCCAGGAATCTGATTACAATGGCCTCTGCTTTAGTGGTGACAAAGCCTGGGTGGCCCAGAAGATGCATCATTTTGGGGGTCATACTTGGTTATTTGGGGTTAGGCTGGCTTAAACTGGACTATTCTCGAAACCTTGGTGGCTTTATCTCAGGAAATGATTGAAAGTGGGGTCCCGCTTAGGAAAGAAGGGTCTGGACAGGATCATGGGAGTTCAAATACACAGAGCCTTTGGGAGACTAGCCTAAGGGAGGGACCCAAAAGGAAGAGTTTCGGTGGGGCAAAGTGAGACTCAGAAGGTATAGTCCCCTTCAGCAGCCCCACCACCACCCTCTCACTCTTGGGGCCCCAACGGGGTGGGCCAGGCCTGCTCCACCCCCATAACCCCTGCCCGTGGCCCCGACGTGACATTTGACCTTGTGGCTTCGAAAGACCCAGGGACAAAGACACTGGGCCCATCTGCCACTGGGATGTCCGTGGGAACAGCCAGATACTGTTCGTGCAGCCTGGGAACCTGCCCTCCCCCCTCCCGCAGGCGACCTTGGCTGACCACTAACCAGCTGGTGGCTAAAAGCTAAAATGTGTAGACTTGGGCCAACTATTTGGGCAAAGGTGCTTGCTGCCAGGCCTAAAGACATGAATTCCATTTCCAGATTCCCAGGACCTGGAGGTGAACGGGGAGATATGGGGGAAAGGGCTGTGAGAGAAGGAAGAACCCCCCCTACCCCCAACAGCTTACAGAGTGGGACACACACAGTTCCCAGCCCCAGGGAATACTCAGCCTCTGGCTCACATTGCCCTGAGGCGCTGCAGCCATCGGAGGGCACAGCTGTTCCGCACCTGCACAGCTGTTTTCTGCAGGCTAATCCTGCTGTTAAGGTTTCAGCCTGTCTCTGAATGGAGGGGTGTGGCCATACACTGCTGTTCAGTCAGCTGCTGCTAACACAACACACTCACAGTCAGACAGACATTCACATAAACACAGACATTCACACACACACATAGACACACAGACACACATTCATACACACACAGACACACACATATCCACAAAGACACACACTGTCAGACACAGACTCACACAGTCAGATACAGACACACACATCTATACACAGACTCACACACATCCACGAAGACACACACACACTCAATATAACACTCACACAGGGCTTCTTCCCTCCCCAGGAGCCCCTCTCTGCTGATGACCTAGATCCCCCCCTCAGTAGTAGTGGGCTCTCTACCATATCACTCCTCTACATTGTCTTTTATTTTGACTATGTTAAATGATGTGTATCTGTGTGGGAGCCCTAGGAGGCCAGAGGCATCGGATGCCCTGCAGCTGGAGCCACAGGTGAGTGTTGGGACTGGAACTCTGGTCCTTTTGAGAGCAGTAATTGCTCTGAATGGTGAAGTTATCTCTCCAGCCCTCCAATTAAAAAAAAGAAGTGTTTATGGACACACAAGGTTCTTGTGTGGAGGTCAGAAGACAACTTTGTAGAGCCCCCCTTCTCTTTCCATCTCTGTGTGGGATCCAGGAATTGAACTCAGCGAGCACCTTTAGCTGATAAGCCATCTCTCTGGCCACTTTGTTGTTGTTTTGTTTGCTTGTTTTTGGTTTTTCAAGACAGGGTTTCTCTGGGTGGCCCTGGCTGTCCTGGAACTCACTCTGAAGACCAGGCTTGCCTTGAACTCATAGTGATCCACCCATCTCTGCCTCTTGAGTGCTGGGACTAAAGGCGTGTGTCAGTGCCCCTGACTAACATTTTTTGTTCTTATATTTAGGTGTAGTTGTGTTTTGCCTGCATTTGTGTCTGTGAACCATGTATCTGCCTGATGACCCCAGAGGCCAGAAAAGGTGTGGGATCCCCTGGAACTGGGCAGTTGTGAGCTGCCCTGTGGGTGCTGGGAATGGAAGCCAGGTCCTCTGCAAGAGCAGCCAGTACTCTTAAATGCTGAGCCGTATCTCCAGCCCCTCATTCATTTCTTTCTTAGTGCTGTCTCATGTAGTCCAGGATGGCCTTAAACTCACAATGTCGTCAAGGATAGCCATAGACTCTGAATGCTGGTGTCACAGGTAGGCACAGACTTTCTGTTGTATGCAGAACCTTCCACGTGTTTGGTAAGGGCTGGGGATGGAACCAGGCCTCCTCAGCACAGGCTGGTGGGATAGGTGGGCAGGTATGAGAGCTTCATGCACACTCAGCAGGTCACCTACTGCTGAGCAACCACTAGCCCTCGACTTCCCCTAAATGCAGGTCCCAAAGTTGTTTCGGATTGGGAACACGCCTTCTATCCATACTCTTAACCCGAACCTTTCCCCCTCAGTCCCCTCTTGGGAAGAAGCTCGGGCCACCAGAGACAAAGGACAGGTGGTATGATGTGACAGGACACGTTATTTTGTTTAATTCCAGGAGCGTGTGAGTATGAGTATATACACATTAGTGCAGAGCCTGTAGAGGCCAGAAGGGGCCGACAGATCTGCTGTGGCTGTTGAAGCTGGCAACTGAGCCCCAGTTCCCTTCAAGTGCTCCTAACCACTAAGCCATCTCTCAGCTCATCACAAGACAGACACTCTGACCTTCCTGCCACCCCTGTGTTGACATGCAGACTTGATTCAGGCCCTACAGGAAGGTCTGGGCTGGCTGGGGAGCCCTGGGCTTCCCCAGGGCCCTCGCAGTGGCTGCCAGAACTTCCAGCTCCTCTGCCTGCTGGGACTGCATCTGAGCCACCTGCTGTTCCAACTTCCTGCGCTGCTCTTCCTGTGTCCGGTGGGCTCCTCTGATGGCCAAGGCCAGAGCGCTGCAAGTAGGAGAAGAGATGTCTGGGCTGGGACATGGAACTATCTGGATGGACTGAAGGCAGGGGCTATGGGCTTGCCTTCTTAGAAGAGGGGAAGCCGCGGCCGAAGATCTGGGCCGAGTCCCACCTGTGTGCCTTGCACAGCTCTCTGATCAGCTCTGCACTCTGAGCGCGTCTAATTTGGCCCTTCTGAGCCACCTGTTCCAGCTGCTGCCGCAGGGACTGCAGCTGTGCCCGAAGGTCCACTGCCCTGCAAGGGTGTGAGATCGGCCATCCCAGCCACTTCCAGCCTTGTCCCCTGTCCTCCCCAACACACACCCAGACCACACACACCTCCACAGCCTCTCATCCATCCACCCTGGCCCCCACCAGTTCCCGGCACTCACCGGGCAAGGGATGCAGACAGTTCCTGGGATACGGTCTCGGGGTCCCACGGTTTGCCCATCTGGCCACCCAGGAGGGCAGGAGGGCCCTAAGGGAGGGGGACAGGAGAGAATGTGTTGTGCTCACCTCAGGCTGGACATAGACGGCACCCAGCTCCCGGCCAATGCTTATTACTTTAAATTATTACATGTATTTATTTAATGTATGCATGCACATGTGTGTGCATGGAGAGGTCAGAAGACAGCTTATGGGCATTGGTCCCCGTGCAAAGAATGGGACAGTGTATTGCACTAGACATGGCCTGACTCAGGCAGGCCCAGCTATTTCCTTTTTCCTTAAGGTGCTGCCAGAACATGACTGGCTTTAAGCTCCGAAGTGACTTGGCTCCCTCACTAATTAAGGTGCCCTCCACCTGGGGCTGACCTGTGCACCCCTCTTCTGTATCATCCTCCCTTCAGGGAGCTGTGAGTTACAGCTTGCCTGGACTGGGATTTTCCTTTCAAATTCTAATAAATTGAGCTTCTGTTGGCTACATCCTTAAGTTATTTTATTAGTGAGGCTGAGACCTTCCAGAGGGGCCCTGACGCCCCAGCTCTGCTGAGGGGCTCTAGTAACCTTTCTCTCCTGACTTCTAATTATTTTTTTGTTACTTTTAAGGATTTTATTTTCTGTGTATGGGTGTTTTGTAAGCGTATGTCAGGCACCATGTGCGTGCAGTGTCCACACAGACCAGAACAGGGCGTCCGATGCTCAAAAAGTGGAGTTAGAGATGGTTGTGTACAACCGGGGTCTGGGAATCGAACCTGAATCCTCAGCAAAAATCAACCAGCGCTCTTACGGACTAAACCATTGCTTCAGCCCTCCTTGCACCCCTGTGTGAGGCCATAAGCGCCTTTATCATGACGAATTCTTTGGGCAGGATAGGGGATGTTCCCCAGCCTCCAAGACTGCAGGAGCCATACCTGGTAGTGCCGCTCCTCCTCCTCCCTGTCCTCCTCTTGGCTGCTGCCCCCGCTGCTGCCTTCGCCGGTGAGTTGAGCCTGCTCCCAGCCAAGCTGTTGCAGGAGCAGCAGGTGGGCGGGGCCCTGGGCACGCAGTGCAGCCTCCCTTAGCTCCAGCCCGCGCTTCTCCCGTCGCGCCAGCTGCAGCTGCAGCACCAGGTCGGCCAGATTGTCCTGCGGGGGCCTAGAGTCAGCTGCTGGGAAAACTGAGGCTTCCGGGAGTGCCCACAGAGGCCAGGAAAAGCCTCTGACCAGTATCATGGCCTTCCTCTTGTAAAAGCCACCACCGGGAAATGACATTGTGCAAGCTTCTAGAAATTCTCAGACCTCACCTCTTTTTATTTTGTTTTTCGAAATTTATTTGATGACAAGGAGAATGGCCTCCAGCCCTGGAGGCAGAGAGGCAGGTGGATCTCTGTGAGTTCAAGTACAGCCTGGTATACAAGCATCCCAGGTAGCTGGGGCTACAAGGTGCCTAAAAGTGTGGGTTTGCAACATGAGTGCAGCACCGGAAGAGGCCACAAGAGGGCGTCAGAGCCCCTGGAGCTGGAGTTGAGCGGCTATTAGCAGCCAGTGTGGGTTCTGGGATCTGAACACCAATCCTCTGCAAGAGCAGCCTGTGCTCTCAAGCACTGAGCCATCTCTCTAGCCCAAATCTCATATCGTTTACATTTTTACATTTCTGAGACCTGGTTTCACTGTGGAGCTCAGTTTAAGGGCTGTGGTCCTTGTCTCACTCCCCTGTGACTGGGGGCAGGAGAGGAAGGAGGTGCTCACTTCTGTTAGTGAGTGCCGCACTACTGAGCCACCCTGCCCCCAGACCCAGGGGCTTCTCACGCTGGTTGCTGCCCAACGTTTCCCACAGGAAGAGGATGCTGAGAAAGCAGCTAATCTTGACTGCCAATTTGATGGGATCTAAAATCACCCCAACTGGTGGATATGCCTATGGGGGTATATCTAAATTAAGTAATAGACTTGGAGACACTGATGTTCCCTGGGCTGGGGTGGGCTGAGCTGAAGCATGCACCACTCTCTGCTTCCTAACTGCTGCCTCAAGCTCTGGCAATCACAATCTCTCTGCCATGATGGACCACTCTCTGGAACTGTCAGCCAAGCCAGAACAAGCCTTCCTTCCAGAAATTGCTCCTGTCAGGAATTTCATCATAGCAACGCAAAGGAAACGTAGACAATCTTACAGAAAACCTAATCAGGAAGAACTCCTATGTATCCCTCAAAACCTCAACTCTAATTCTCCCCACCCAAGGGATACGCTGCTTGACTCTGGCCTCCAATGACATCATCAAGGGTGTGCTGTGACAGTCTCAGCACATTCCTACCCGAGTAGCCACTAGGTCCTGCTGGATCTGAGACTTCTCCAGCCTGGGCAGGGTAGGGCCGGGCTGTATCTCCAGAATGGCCTGCAGTGTCGCTTCTGTGTGGGGCACTGTGGGCCAGGGCACGGTGGCAGGGCCAAGCGCTGGGGGCACCTTCAGGAGAGCCCAGCGCTCCCGGAGGTGCTGGACATAATGGTGGAGCTGAGTAGCCAGTTCCTGTGCTGTGGGCTTGTCCACACTGCTTCCCTCTGGGCTGTAAGAGACAGGAGGCAGACCTGTGCTACACAGCTGCTGCCACACTCAGTCCTGTGCCACCTGGGGTGGGCATGGCCTACCAACAGCATCCAGAGCACAACCCACACCCCGGGGACAATCTTCCAGTACGATAACATGGTAGGTGCTGGAGCTCAGTCAGTAGAGTCCTTGTAGCTCAGTCCATAGAGACCTTGCTTAGTATTCGTGAGGTTCCATGTCTGGCACTATATAAACATACCAGCTCTCAGGAGAATGGAGGCAGGAGGGTCAGGAGTTCAAGGTCACCCTCAGATACAAAGCAAGGTGGTGGAGCCTCAGTGCTCGACACCAGGGGAGTCTGAATTTAATTCTGTAGTGTGCCCAGCTCACACCGGACACAAAGCTTTGCTGTCAGCTAAGACTCAGTGCAGAGACAGAACTGGGAGCTCACAGGCACTGCAATGGACGCTACTAAGAAGTATGTTGATAACCCTGCCAGGTCCACACAGGGTGTCACCAATGCCATTTTCCTTTGAAGCTACACCATGCCCTGGCCACTTCCTGTGTCCCTGCTCTCTACTTCCTCGCTGCCATGATGGGCTGACACATCTGAAGCCATGAGCCAAAATTTAATAATAATTTAATAAACTTCTCTGTTTTTATTTCTCCAGTTTTAGAGGCTGCAATCAGGGTCTATGCAAGGGTACTTGATGCTTTGTGTATAATATGTGTGTTTGGTATTGTTATTTATTTATTTGAGACAGGGTCTTGCTGTATAGACCAGGCTGGCCTTGAATTCCTCAAATTCTGCCTCCTGAGTGCTAGGATCAAAGACTATGTCCCCACACCTGGTGTCGCTGAGTAACCTACTCCAGTCAGGCCTGTGTCACCCAAACATGATGAATTCAGAGCTGACCCTGGGCAGTGACAATGACCAAGACACCAAAGCCTCATGTGCAGCAAGCTCTGGGATCCACCTCCACCAACCTCATAGACCAGCACATTCTTGTGTTTGCTGTAGGTACCTGGGTGGGGGTGTCTCTCCATCCATGGCTGCTTGCTTCTTCACCAGCAGCCTACATGCTTCCTTCTCAGCAGCCTGCAGGTCACCCTTGGTGGCTACAGCTCCAACTCCTAAGCCAGCTGTTCTCAGAGCAAGCAGCACCCCAAACACTTCTTCATAATCCTCTCTGTGGGACAGGATCTGAATGTTTCAACACTAAGCCCCAACACAGGCAGAGGTGGGCCTTGAACTCACACAGAGTTTAAGGCCAGCCTGGTCTACATAGATTGTACTATACAGTGAGACCCAGTCTCAAATAAATGTACAACAACAAACCACTAAAAGACATCTCTCACCCTCCATGTTTTATGGGTCAGAGCAAGACCTCATGGTGAGGCAATGTGCCTTCTGAAGTTTCCATGTCCTCTGTACATAGGGCCATCCTAGCATGCAGCCCCACCTGATCCACACGCACCACCATTACTGGGAGCAGGCACAGACCTATACTGCAAGGCCAGGTGCAGGGCTGTGTACTCAGCCTCCAGCTGGCCAAGCTGCATGCTGAGGCTCTCACAGCGGCCCTTGTAGCCCTGGAGCACAGCCAGCAGGAGGCGATTGAAGCACTTCAACTTCTCAATGCTCCTGTCTCCAAAGGAAGATGAATGAGGCTCCAATCAGCCAGAGCCATTTTCTCCCTTCTCCCTCACAACCCAGTGGCAGGAGGTGCAGTGCCCTTAAAAGCTCAGCAGCTGTGACTCAGCAACTCACCCCTGGAGCTGCCCCATTTGGTCTTCTATGAGGTACATCTCTGGAGCTGGATGCTGTGTAGAAAGACACCCAAAGATCTGAGTACTGAAGTTACTCTGGAGGCGTCGGAGAAGGGGGTGAGCCACAGGAGAGTCCTGACAGAAAGATATGATGTGTTTTACTTCTCATCAAAAGCCCAAGATGTGTTTTTTCCCCCTTTTTGCAGGGCTGGGGTGGAACCAGGGCCTTGGATTATGTTATATATCTGGTTTGTACTGAGGTACAGCTGCAGCTTTGGTGTGTTTTGGGGGAGTGTGAGGGTACAAACATATGGACTGTATGCATACATGTTTGTGTGTGTGTGTGTGTGTGTACCATGGCACATGAATGGATATCAGAGGACAACTTGTGAGAGTCAGTTCTCTCTTTCCACTTTGTGTGTCACAGGGATTGAACCAAAGTAAGCAGGCTTGGCAGCAGGCACCCCTAGATGGAGAGTCAACTCAGCAATGCTTTTTTTTTTTTTTTAAATCTGGAGACAGGGTCTCTCTAAATTTACTGGTCATGTTCTTTCTGTCTCAGGCTCCTAAGCAGCTGGGGTGACTGTGGGGGACTGCCTTGAGCCACCAACTAGGTGATTTCAGCCTTTTCTTTTTTACTTTAATTTTATGTGTATGAGTGTTTGCCTGCATGTCTGTCTATGCACATTGTGCATGCCTGGTTCCTGTGGAGCCCTGAAGAGGGCATCAGATGCCCTGAAACTAGGGTTACATATGATTGTGAGCTTCCATAAGTGTGTCAGGAACTAAACCTGTGAGAGCAGCTGGCACCCCTAACCACTGACCCAGGTTTCCAAGCCCTGCTTAGACCTTTTCAGATACTATGGGTTGTATTATTTCCTTAAAGATAGAAACATTTAATTCTTCAGGGAAGCTCCTTAAGCAGGAAAGTAAACAACTCCAAATAACTTGAGGAAGTCCCTGAAACTGAGCAGATGCACTAGGCTCCTTCCTGCCAGAGTAAGAAAAGTCCTTCTGAGACTTGTGAACATCTGCAAAGAAGACTCTTGAGATCAGATCAGTCACCCAGAAGAGGTTTAGATCGGAGTCATTTGGATGTGGCACTCTTCCAACCTGCAGGCTGGGAAGCTTTTGTGAGGTGTCAACCATGCTGGGGTAGACCTGGGTGATGCAGCTGTATCTGAGTCCTTTCTGCTCCTGTAAGTAACCCCAGTATAATTCATTGGTTCACTAAGTTGGACTTTGGTGGTACACATCCATACTTGGATGTGTTGTGGGCTCCCTGTCTGTGGTGAGTTGTCTGAAGTGTCTCAGTTGTCCTGTGTAGCCTCTTCCTTTTTTTGCCACACAAAACTATGGAATCCCACAAAGTACAAATTGAAGTTTGCCCCCACACTGGAACAGCAGAGGCCATCATAACCTGGGCTTAGAAGGCTTTAGGTTTACCTGAGGTGCCCAGGTTTCCCCTTCTGCCTCAAAACTGCTGGAGTTGCTGTTTGCATGCCTTACTCTGAGGATGGAGGAAGGCGGGGAGGCCTCCAGCCGCATCAGGGAATCCTCCAGCTCTTGCACCTGTCAATGAGGGGACATCAGGCTGTGGCTTCATATACAACCAGTTCTCTACAACAGCAGGAGCCCTGTCCATGTGACTTGGAACAGGTCCCCAAGCTGCCACTCAATGTTTGTCAATCAACACCCAACCAGGGCAGCTACTGGCATTGTGATGGGGAAGGTGGGGGACAATCGCCACTTTTAATTTTTTTTTTTAGGATTTATTTATTTTTATTATTTTATGTGCATTGGTGTTTTGCCTGCATGTGTATTTGTGTGAGAGTGTCGATCTTCTGGAACTGGAGTCACAGACAATTGTGAGCTGCCATGTGGGTGCTGGGAACTGAACTGGACAAGCAGCCAGTGCTCTTAACTGTGGAGCCCTCTCTCCAGCACCTCACTTTTTCCTTTCTAAATTTTTTAAGAGACTCTGTTTCTCAGGGTTATCTGGATCTCCCCAACTGGAACCAACCTCCAACCTCATCCTCCCAAGCAGTTGGGATTTCAAGTGTGCACCACCACACTGAGAAAAGAGAATTTCATTTCTATGTTGGCAAGAGGAGCCTCTGCAAGCCCCTCAATGGTGGATTCTAGGCTGTCACTCTACACCTAAGCCACACCCCAGACCCTCATTAGGGGATTCTAGGCAGGGCTCTGTATGGATACCTGTCCTAGTTCTGTTTTTTTCTTCTGCTTTGAGACGTTTGCCTATTTTGTCAAAGCTAGTGTTAAATTTTGATCCTCTTGTCTCAGGCTTTGAAGCTCTTATCATTACAGGCTTGTCCCAGCACATCTGGGTTTAACATCACTTATAATCTGCCTGATTTTAGTCACCTCTGCCACGTCCACTGTGCACCAGCACGCTGCTATCACACTCCCTCCTGCACCCCCAGTCAGGATTATGGTCCACCACCAGATTGTTCCTCCCACAGGCAGCAGGTGGAACAAGGGAACATCTGTAGCAGGTCAGTTCACCTCAGAGCCCAGAACTCTCTGAGGCTCACAACCTATGTAGAACACAGCTGATAGTCCTGCCCAGCCCTCAACACCAGCATGCTGTGTCTGTTCCCCACTTGCCTTCATCTCCCAACTCTATTCCAGCCACACTGATCTCAGGATTTGTGCTAGTTTGTGTGAACTTGACATCAGCTGGAATCATTTTGGAAGAGGGACCACAACTGAGAAAATGCTCCCCCATATGGACCTGTGTGCATTTTCTTGATTGATGATTAATGTAGGAGGGCCTAGCTCACTATGGATGGAGTCATCCTGGGATGGTGGTCCTGGGCTCTATAAGAAAGCAGGCTGAGCAAATCATGGGGAGCAAGCCAGTAAGCAGCACTCCTCCATGGCCTCTGCATCATCTCCTGCCTCCAGGGTCCTGTCCTGCTTGAGTTCCTGCCCTGATTTCCTCAGTGATGAAGAGGGTCTGAGAGTTTTACATGAAACAAATCTCTTCCTCCTCAATTGCTTTTGGTTGTGGTGTTTTATCACAGCAACGGAAACCCTAAGATAGGAGTTTTCTGTGAGTGTGCATGTGTGCACTGCCCAGGGCCTCATACTCTAGACAAGTACCTCTACTAGAGGTACTCTGAACCTGTTAAAAAAGAACCAGAAAATAAATATTGATACAGGGTATGTAATCCAGGCTGGCCTTGAACTCAATCTACAGCTGAGTTTGACCTTGGTTTTAGCCAGGGCCGGCCTCTGACTGGAGATTGTCCCCCCTCACCTTCAGTGCTGAGATTATGGGGTGCATCCTGCCTGTCTCCCTTCTGACCTTCTGTCATCTGGGCCTTGCCCCCCCCCCCTTTAATTTTGCTGTCTTCCTTGGTTATTCCCTTGGCACATCTGTCCTTGCTCCATGTTGATTCGTTGAATGAATAAATATGTGTCTGTTTCCAATGCAGGATCTGCCTCCTTCCGGAGTCCCCAGCTCACCTGTCTCTGCAGACTCGCCTTCTCTGCCTGGGCATCCTGCAGGGAAGCCTGAGTGTAAACCAGCTCATCCTCTCGGCTGCCCAGGGCCAGCCGCAGCCAGGCGTTCCTCTCTATGAGGCGAGCTGCCTCCTGCTGTCCAGTCCCAGCAGCTTCTTCCTGATCGCTAAAGGATCCAGGAGGCCCCTTGTCTCTGTCTTCTGTTTCCACTGGTCTTGGAAAGCTGAGGGAGCAGTGGTGCCGTGCAGACACAGCTGCCTCAAGGGAGCTCAGCCTGCACTGCAGGGTCTCAAACACCGTGGGTGCTAGCGTCTTAGCAGGGCCAGTATCCGGGGGGGCTGCCTGCAGGGCCTGCTGGGTTTCTGCTTCAGACTCGTACCGTTTCTCTAGGCTCAAGGGTAGGGCCTCATGGGATCTCACACCACAATCATCCTCGGTCCTGTTAAGATAACCCAGGAACCCCAGCCGCCTGAGGCTCAAGAGGGGCCTGAGATGGGGGAGGAGGGTGTGGCCAATGGACTGCCAGACTCCAGGGTCCCTGGGAAGGGTGAGCTGCCAGGTGGAGGATAAGGAAGAGAAGGAAAAGGAGAGAGGAAGGCAGAGGAGGCAATGGGGAGCTATTGCAGGTGCTGGGGTTTGGGATGGGGGAAGATCAACTTTGTGTGGTGCCGGACTAGAATAGTAGATACACACAGAATGTATCTTTACCAGCTCCCTGAGCCCTGCTTGTCAGGACCAAGATGTTCCTGAAGCAGCCCAGGTTTAGCCTCGAAACTCCCACTGGCAGCCTCCATCTCCTCTGAACTCTCAGCCACGGGGTCCAGCTCCCCCTGTGAATGATCCCACACACACATAGGCTTTTAGCTAGCAGGGCCAGCTTCCCCGGTGGAAGACTCCTCTATATCAAGGTAGGTTGGGAGCTACGCAGGCCTAGGCTCCCAGGATCCATGAAAGTGGGTGTGGCAGGAAGAGGGGTACACTTACAGGCGGAGGATGCCTCCCTCGGCGGCTTCGAGGCCGTGTAGCCCGGGCGCTCATTGCTTCACCCCCTGACTACAGCCTGCTCTTGGCCCTTGCCTCTGTCACCTTGGGGTCCTTGGAGGTTTTCCCTGTAGGAGTATTGGGTTGTCTTCGTTGACTGAACACATTTGAGTATTTGAATACCTCTGCTGATGGCTCCCACTACTTGTCCATTTGGCCCCTATCTCCCTCCCCTTCTCTACCTGGAATTTCTCTTTGCTCAGTGGCCTAAATGCATTTCTTTAATGTGCACCCCCTCTCTCCCCTGTGGAAGCATTGGATAGGGACCCTAAGGATCTGCTTTCCTCCAGGACTTTCTCACCTTGGGGGTCAAAGCTGCTGCCCTTCACTCCGCTTCTCCAGGGCACCTTGGGAAAGGCCTGAGCTCCTGGGCACATCTCAGGTCATTCTGGCCACTGCTGACTGAGGTTGTGCTGGCCAAGGCTGGCCTGGGAGGTGGCTGGGAAACAGGAAGCCCCCCTGCCCTGGTCACATGGACAGTTATTGTCTTGTTTCCTTCTCCAGAATGCCGGCTTCCTCCAGGATGGAGGACCAGGACCCTTGTTCCACTCCAAGATAGCAGCACCCTCCTTATCCCAGCCCCAAACCTGTAGTCTCTCCATTTCCATTTTTGGTTTTCTCAGGGTCCCCCTGCACACCAGGGCTCACTCCAATGTTAAGATCTCTTTTTTTCTTTATTATTTTTATTTGTGTGTTTCTAAAAACAAAACTGCAGGAGTGGACTCCAGCATTGGCATACATTTTATTACTTTGCTTTATTTAGTTGTGTCTGTGGTTGGAAAGCCACACGCACGTGTGGCGGTCAGAGGACTGCTTGTGGGATCAGTTCTCTCAGATCAGTCTTCAGGCTTGACAGCAAGCGCCTGCACCTGATCAGCGGCCCACAGGGTTTCTCTTCAATGAGACTGAACTGCTGCTCAGACAGTTGGAGCAGCAGAAGCTTGTCCACGGTGTGTTTGCTGGTTTTTCTTTTTCCTTTTTCTTTACATTTTGTTTTTTAGACAGGGTCTCATATAGCCCAGGCTGGCCTAAACGCCTGATCTTCGTTTTCCGGCCTCAAGAGTGTTAGGATGACAGCTGTGAACCACCAGCCCGCATCGCGGCACTAGTGGATGAAGGCCAACGTACGTAAAACAAGTAAGCCCAAGACAGTCCTACTGCATCAATCATCAATCGGCCCCGCCCAGCTTAGTCTCTGGCCCTGTAACAGCAGAAGCCTTGACAACCATAGTCTGATTAAACCAGAACTCTAAGCTCCGCCCAATCTTGTTTCTGTCCACCAGCAACGGAACCTACTCCAGCGGACTTCAGCCCCACTCCAGGCTGTTACACTCTAAACCACACCCCTAGGATCGCCTCAGCCTATCAGCTTCCATGCTCTCCGAACTACACTTCCCAGAAGGCGTCTCGGCAGACTGTACAAACTTCCGGTTAGGAAGATGGCGGCTTCCTAGAACCCTGTGATTGACTGGCGGCGGTGCCCAGCCTGCAGCGGTGTGAACGCACGCGAGCTTTGTGTCGCTGTGAGCTAACTGCAATACGGCTTGCTGCAGCTCCAGGTTCGTTCCGCTTGAGGAGTTGGGAGCTGCGAGGTCCCGAGGTGCCACGCCGAGAAACGCGCGTCTCCCAGGGTCCTGACCGCCCGGGGCCGCGCCTCGCTCTAGTGCACAACCCAATTACCCACGCGTTGTAGCCACGAGTGACAGAAAACCCACACACAGGCTCGCCAAAGCCGGATCCCGGCGCCCTGAAGTCGCTGTCTCGGGAGGAGCTGTGGGAAGCCTCACTGTTTCTTCTCAGCCCACAAACCAAGTTTGTTTTCCTTTTCTGTCTCTGCAACGCCCAGGTGCGGGGTCCATTGGAAGCCTTACTGGGTCAGATGCCCGGTGACCAGGCAACTGCGGTGTGCTTATTGGCCTAGTAAAGGGGGACACTGTCTGCCCTGTGCAAGCAGTGGGAAGCTAACTCCGAGGTACACTTCAGTGGGCTGACTGCTTGTGGCTCAGGGCTGACTGCTTGTTGGCCAGTGCGCCATGGGCCTCCACCTTCAGCATCACGTAGAACAGGTGCGGTGGTGCACTTTCAGAAGGAAGTGGATGCAGAGGTACCAGGTCATCCTAAGCCATATAATGAATTACAGTCCAGCCCGGGTCACCCGAAACTGTCATAAACAAAAAGGGAAGAAACCAAGAAAGCTGTTAACTACTTTCCCTTTGGGTGATTTAAGGGAGCCGTTCTGCAGCCATCAGACTCCTGCGCCCTAAGGGCTCAAGCTCAGCTCTGGCTTCCTAGTAACCAAGTGTTTTTAAACACTCTGAATGCAGGATCCTGGCTTCCACTATCCCCTCTCCATCTAATCACTCCGGAGCCATGGAGGTATCCGAGGCCAACAGCCCCACCGAGGAGGAGGAGGAAGAAGAGGAGGAAGGAGAGGAGCGGACATCTGAGCCCAGGCTTCACACTCGCTCTAACCCTGAGGGAGCTGAGGACCGGGCCCTGGGGGCTCAGGCCAACGTGGGCAGCCGCAGCGAGGGTGAGGGTGAGGCAGCCAGTGGAGATGATGGGCTGTCCAGTGCCCCTGGGGCTGGACCCAAGCCCTGGCAAGTACCAGCAACAGCATCTGAGGTCCAGATTCGAACACCAAGGGTCAACTGTCCAGAAAAGGTGGTATGTAGGGTTCTTGGATGGGGCCTCTCAGACAGGCCTTTCCTGCTTTAGGTTCTATGAGGTTCTACAGGTTCTATGAACACCACACACTTGGTGGCTTAAACATCACTGAATTTAGATTTTTTTTTTTTTTTTTGTAGCACCTGGACCTCCACATATGTCACTAACCATTTTTGTGGGGAGGGCCCCACCTCTGAGCCATACCTTCAACCCCTCTTGGATACTTCAGACTGGCTCCCACCCTGGCTGTCCTAGCTCTGCCTGGTTTGGTCCTGTACTCTGTCTTTTGTTTATATTTCAGATCATCTGTTTGGATCTTTCGGAGGAGATGTCTGCGCCAAAGCTGGAGTCCTTTAATGGGTATCATGGTGTTGGGCTTGGACATGGGCAGCTCAGAATACATAGGGTCCCCGCTCCACTGAATAGGATCTAGGTGTCTATGACACTGACAGTTCCAGGGCTGTGGCCTAGGCTTCTGTCTGTATATGTGACACTCTTAGGAGCCAACTGACTCCACAGGGCTTCAGGCTGATGGAGGCCAGCATCTGGTTCATAGAAGCTGTTGAGCACTGTGTGCCCCTGGCAGCTGGGGTATCAAGTTTCATACCTGGACTGGCTTCAGGAGCTGGTGACACACACCTACTGTCATAGCATTGGGAGGTGGAGATGGAATCAGGAGTTCAAGCTCCACCTTGGCAATGCAGTTATTTGGATGCCAGTTTAGGCACCACAGCACATTTGTGGCTAGCCTATATTGCACAGTGAGTTTGAGGCTAACCCAGTGTATTAGAGTTCTTTAGAAGAATAGAACTGATATATATGGGGTTTATTAGAGTGGCTCACAGGCTGTGGTCCAGCAAGTTCAACGATGGCTGCCTAAGGGTGGAAGCCCTAACAATCCAGTAGCCGCTCAGTCCGTGGGGTGGGAAGTCGCTGCTGGTCTTTAGAGTGCACCACAGTCCTGAAGGAGTAGGCTCTAATGCCGGTGAAGGAGTAGACTTGCGAGTGAGAGGGAGAGCAAGCAGGCAGCGTTCCCTTCCTCCGTCTCCTTTGTCCAGGCTGCCAGGAGAGGGGGTGACCCAGATGAAAGGTGAATTTTCCTACTTTCAGAAGACCCAGATCTAGGGTGGATCTTCATACTTGAAATGATTCCACCAAGGAAAAGTTCCTCAGAGGTGTGCCTGGCCACTTGGGTTTTAGTTAAATCCAGATGTGGTCAAGCTGACAAGCAAGAAGAGCTATCATACCTGGCTATCTGCACCCTGACTCTGTCACCCTGCTGCTGTCCTGCTCCCCTCCCCCCAGCTCCAGGACAAATGCCTTGAACGTGTCTCAGAAGATGGTTGAAATGTTTGTGCGCACAAAGCACAAGATTGACAAGAGCCACGAGTTTGCGCTGGTTGTAGTAAGCGACGACTCTGCCTGGGTGAGACTGGGGGACAGGGACCCTGGGGGACCTCAGGACCAGGAACCCCAGCACTGAGGCCCCTGCTTCCCCACAGCTGTCGGGCCTGACCTCTGACCCACGAGAGCTCTGCAGCTGCCTGTATGACCTGGAGACGGCATCCTGTTCCACATTCAGTATCCTTGCTGCTGTCCCCGGCCCCACCTCTGACACTGAGATGGGGTCTCACTACTGCTGTTGGATTCTTCCAATATAGAACCCAGATTGAGCATCCACCCCACCCTCACCCCCCCAAAAAAAAAACCCCACAGAAAACAGGGCCCAGAATCAGTAATTTTCTGTAGGTGTTGAATTTTGACACAGGGTCTTGCTGTGTAGCTCAGGCTGGAGCCATGATCTTCCTGTCTTAGCATTCTGAGAGTAGCATGGCAGTGGTTCAGAGCCATGCCCCTAATTATTTTCAACATATATTTATTGAGACAGGGTCTCATGTCCAGGCTGTGAATATGGTCTCATACAGTCCTGGAACTCACTGTGTAGGCCTGGCTAGTTCCAAGCTCACTGAGAAGCTCGCTGAGAACTGAGGTCCGCCTCTGCCTCCCAAGTGCCGGGATTAAAGGTGTGCAGTATACTCCACATCAAACACGCCATTAGTATCTTTTTGAAACTGTTTATCTTGTAGCTGAGGCTGCCCTTGAATTCACACTGTAGCTAAGGATGGACTTGAGCTCCTGCTTCTCCTGCAGGAGCTCCACCTCTTAAGTGCTGGATGACAGTGTGCTGGAGAGTGACCATAGTTGCACGCATGCTAAATCAACTGAGCGACAAGCGCTCTAGCAACTGAGCCCTATTGAACCCTAGCACCAGGACAAGTCGGGGATTTTGTCCAGTGAGATCATAAATGGTATATTCCATATATGACATTGTAGGAGGAGGTGCATTCAAAACCCAGCACAGGGAGTTATTGGGGATGCAGGGGTGTCAACCCAGCATCCAGAAAGCTGAGCAGGAGAATTGCAAGTTTCAGGCCAGCTTTAGACTTTTGAAAAAACACAAAATCAGAAAAAAAAAAAAAAAAAAAAAAAAAAGTAACAATAGAAAGCTGGCTGTTAATATGAGGTGAAACCCCAAAGCCACCGGGAACCAGGCTCCATGGAGTCCCTGGCACTCTGAGCTGTGGTAGGACAGGTGTCAGTGGTGACAGTCAACATTCAGCAGATTCCCCCAGGCAAGGGCCAGTATACAGTTGGTGCCCACTTAATATTTGCCTAGAAAGTCACAATCGTGTTTTTCAAAGTGTGGCTCCTAACATGGAGGATGCTCACCCAGATTTAAGGAGGCAATGGAAATGTGGCAGGACAGGGGAGGTTTGGAGGGCCTTCAGGGGGCTGAGGCTAGCACCCCACTTCATATGAGAGGAACCAGGCTTGGAGGGGTGCAGTGCTGGGCGGGGTGGGGTCACACTGCCTACCCCCATATGAGGTGCCCATCATCTCCCAGGATTCAGGTCTGGGAAGCCCCTTGCCTCTGAGCTGGCATGTCGTCCTTAGCATATCTCCAGATCTAGAAGGCCTCTTCAACCTCATGTGAGTTATCTGGAGTGGGTCATGGCCCTGGGTTCCTTTCCCAGCAAGGTGCAGACAGAGTGGCTTAAGGCTGTACAGTGTGGCTTAAGATGAGACCTTGCGGCCAGCAGTGAAGTTTGAATTTGTTTTTATTTGAGAATACTTTTAAAGGAGTCTTTTTAATCTTTTAATTTTGTATTTATTTTGTGTGTGGGCTCACATGCTGTGGCACATGTGTAGATGTTGGGGGCAACTTGTGAGGATCCATCTCTGCTTCCATCTAGTGGGGCCGCACAGCCTGGTCTGCCCAGTCCTGGCCTTTGACTGTAACATATAGGCCCCTAGGATCTTGGCCTGTAGAATTCAGCTGAAATGGGAGCGCTAGTTGTACCAGAGAGGCCCCCATTCCAGCCTGTAGGGGCGAGCCCTGGGCTGGGGTGGATGGCAGCTGGGTACCAAGCCCTCCTCCTCTCTAGCCAGCAGAAGACCGAGCTGCCAGTCACAGAGAATGTGCAGACCATCCCACCCCCCTACGTCGTGCGTACCATCCTGGTCTACAGCCGCTTGCCTTGCCAGCCCCAGTTCTCGCTGACTGAGCCCATGAAGGTGAGCCCGCAGGGAAGGGAGGACAGTCGTTAGACACCAAAGGGGACAGGTCAGGATCACAGAGGCTGTGGTGGGAGCCCACCCATTTCCCTCTCATCCACTGCAGAAGATGTTCCAGTGTCCCTACTTCTTCTTTGACATTGTTTACATCCACAATGGCGCTGAAGAGAAGGAAGACGAGATGAGCTGGAAGGTGAGACATCTCAGGCCATCTTGACTGCTTCTCTCTGCTGTTTAGCTGGTCATCCAGTCACTTAATAACCGTTCCCTACATTTCCACCTAGAGCTGGTGGTGAGGACTTGGGAAGCCATTGCTTGAGCAGCCCCGGGAGCAGGTCCAGCCCTGCCACACCCTCCCTAGCATCCCACCCTTTCCTGACCTTACCCTGGCTGCACCCCTCCCCTCTAGACCAGGTTGTTTCTTCACCTCTGAACTTGCTGTGTGACCTTGAGTGGGATCTAAAGTCTGTGAACTTGAGTTTACGTGAGTATGACTTGTGGGTCACGTAAAGGTCCTTGCAGACAAACCTGAGAACCTGTGTTCAATCCTGGGACCAGTGTCGTGGGCTATGACTCCCAAGGTTGTACTCTGACCTCTACACACACCTACTCAGCATATGCACACCTGTGTGCACACACATGCGCACATGCACACTCACCCATGACACTCCAGCCCCTCTGCCTGTGAGTGAAGCACCATCATGGCTGAGGCAGGGATGGTGTGTTCACGTGATCCTGGTTTGAACCTTCCGGGCAGATCGGCAGGTGTGATCGCAGAGGCTTTGCATATGTTCACTTGTCTCAGACTTTTCTTCCTATGTCAGGGAGGGGCCTAGTGCATTTTCTCAGTTTTAGGTATTTCCTGATGCCATTTTGGCTATTTATCTTCCTGCTTAAGGAGCCTCCCTGCAGCATGGAATGTTTCAATCTAGAAGGAAACTGATATTTAACAGGAGGCTAGCCTAGGCTACAGAGTGAGCCCTTGTTTGAGGAAAGAAACCACGGAGCGAGAAGCCCTCCTGTGGGGAGTTGTCCTTGCCCCTCCCATGGGGCTTGAGGTAGTATCTTTTGTTGCACTGCAGCTGCCCTGGCTGGCCTGGAGCCGTGAGAGTGACCTGGGGTTAAATGTGCCCTGCTGCATTTAGCTGTCTGTGGTCCACATGCTTCCATGGCAGGCATGTACTTACTGAGGCCACGACCCAGCCCCACACTAGGCTTCTAGAGGGCCCAGAATGAGTGACTGCTCAGGCCCTGGGTGCTAGATAGGTTTCAGGGAATGTTTGCTGACTGCAATAGTTTCTGGCCTGGCAACTTGTCTTCACTCCTCAGAACCCACTCTAGATGCCTCCAGGGACAGGGAGGGCCTTTAAGGGCTAAAGCACACCTTGAACAGCCCCTCATCCATCCCTACAGGACATGTTTGCCTTCATGGGGAGCCTGGACACCAAGGGCACCAGCTACAAGTATGAGGTGGCACTGGCTGGTCCCGCCCTTGAGTTGCACAACTGCATGGCCAAGCTGCTGGCCCATCCACTGCAGAGACCCTGCCAGACCCACGCGAGCTACAGCCTGCTGGAGGAGGATGAGGAGGCTGCTGAGGGGGAAGCCATTGTGTGACCTGTGACCCATGACATCTATGTACCCTCTCATAAGGAGAATGCACCCATGCCCTCATTCCTGGCCTATGCCCACACTGTCCCCTGTAAATTCATTCTTCCTGAGATAATTTTGTCATCAGAATAAAAGTCAGAGGCCTTCCAGCTGTCCCTTGTTGCCATTTTGAGCTCACTGAGACCTGTTTTGTGAGTGACAAAAAACAAGCGAACTCAGCAGTGCAAAGCTTCAGGCTCGGCTGTATCTGGGTGACCTGGGTTGTGCTGCTCCCACAGGCTGTTCACTGAACTTTGCAAACTCGTCTTCAGCTGTAGAATGCATCCCATATGTCCTTTCTTCTAGGAAGTCCTCCAGAGACAGGGAAGATATATTGTGGGTGGGACTGGTATGGCTGCCATAGGAAGTGTTTACTTTTGGTGACCTGGACACCCAAGGGTGCCAGCTCCATATGAAAAGTGGGTTGGGGTGACACCTGTTACCCTCCCAATCTCAGTACCGTGATCTGATTGAACCTGTGTAGTCATGTGGCTTTGTGAATAATCATTGCCCAGAGTTCCGGGACCTTGATGCCCTAAGCTGGAATGGGGACATACAGTGGCCACCCAGAAGAGGAAGGTAAGCCCAGAATCCCTCCCAGTCTCCCAGGTCAGGCCAGAGATGTTCATCCACTCTACCTTCTCCATACATAAAAAACAAAATGGCAGTGGGTGAGAGTTGGACTTACTTTGATAGGGGGAGGCTGAGGTAGGAAGATGACCAGTCTAGGTCAGCAGGGGCTGCATAGGGAAGCATTGGCTCAAAAAAAGGGCATATAAATATATAAAAGATAGATCAGGAGTGGTACTGGCAGTTTTAAAAGTGTATGCTTTGCAGTTTCTCAACCCAGCTAGCACCCAGATAATTGAGCCTGGATATGCTTTATGACACAATACTTAGCAGCTACTACTCTATCCTAATCCTCCATGCTAGTCTGGCTTCCTTTTTGCCAAAATCCTGAAGATACTTGATTTTATGGCTTTAACTGACCCAGCTTCTCTTATGATGTCTCCTGAACCTCTGCCTATTGCTGAATCCTGCACTTACTCTATTTCCTATTCTCCTGGCTGGCGGGAAGTCCAGCCCTATTCCCTTCCCTGCCCAGTGACTGGCTGTTAACCTACTTTATTGGCATATCAGGGGACAATTCAGGAGCAAAATTTAGACAGGACATTCTCAGAACAAGGATTGTAACCAGATATGGACGGGGGGGGGGGGGGGGGGGGGGGAGGGGCACAGAAATTTCCATTTGAATCTTGTTGCTGTTTTGTTTTTTTCCAGGCAGAGTTTCTCTGTGTAGCCTTTGCTGTCCTGGACTCACTTTGTAGACCAGGTTGGCCTCGAACTCAGAAACCTGCCTGCTGGGATTACAGATGTGCTCCATCATGCCATCAGCATTTGAATCTTTACACAGTACACAATAACATTATGCCCACATAGGAACCTGGTGATTGTTCAGCCATTAAGAGCACAGGCTGTTCTTGCGGAACACCTGGTTTCTATTCCCACTTGGAGGCTTACAACTCCGGCTTTCAGGGATCGGCCGTTTTCTTGTGGTCTCCATGGGCACCAGACACATGTGGAACACAGAAAAGGAGGTAAAACACCAGCATGCTTAAATTATTAAAAAAGTAGGTCAGCTTGACTAAGCATTTATTGGGCACTGAGTGTTGAAGCCTGTCTTCCCATTTGCAAATAAGGAAAATGAAGATCTTTAGAAAAAAAATTATTTTTTTGATTTTGGTTTTCGAGACAGGGTTCTTTTAGCCTTGGCTGTCCTGGACTCAGTCTTTAGACCTTTAACTAGGCCTAGTCCTTAGGCCTTGAACTCACAAAAATCTGCCTGGCATTGTCTCTCAGAGCGCTGAGATTACAGGTGTGCACCACCACCGCCCAGCACTCTTTAGAAAATTTTAATTAATTTATGTTGTTATGCCCAAGTCTTGAGGGACCCCAAAGACCACCAAGGAGCCAATTCTGATGCAGTAGGTCTTTTTATTACAAGCTCTAGCTCGTTCCCACACCCTCATCAACGCAGCAGTTGAGAGAGTAGAGCCCCAAGCTCAGGGGGAGGAGGGTTTATATTTAGCGTTACAGCAAGGTTTGGGAAATTCCAGCCAGGCAGTTTTATGATTGATTGACAGCGATTCGGTGTCTGGAGAAAATTGTTTTCCTGGAGGGCCAAGCCAAACCGTTAATTGTTTTACTCATCCTATGGTAAAGAACACCTGGGTAGGTTTCAGGTATTCACTGATTAGCCGTTGCTAGGGGTGATGGTTAAACATTACTGGGTTTTCTCCAGGTCACTACTTGGTGGGGGTCTCCATTGTCTCTTCTTTCTGGAATTGGTGATCTGTGACCTAGTTCCTGGGACTGGTGGCTTTTGGGGTATTTGCGGGGGGAGGGGAGGGGGCATCCAGACTGGTTCAGTATGTTTGTGTGTGTTTGTGTGTGTGTGCGCGCGCGCGCAGGCACAGCTAAGGCACACTTGTGGATGTCACTTTGCTTGCACTTTCCAACTTTTGGGTCCTGGGGATCGAACTCGGGTAATCCGGTTTAGGAGCAAGGACCTTTGCCATCTCGTTGGCCCTCTCACCAAAGCAATAGTCCCAGGTGATTTCGTTGGACTGGAAATTGCTCCATGCTGTTCTTTTGGACTCGGATCCTGGCACTCGGTAGGCTAAGGCAGGAGGATGGCGGCGAGTTCCTGCACGGCTTGAGTTACCAAGGAGTTTGTTTTGTTTTGTTAAAGACAAAGAGAGGCCCTGTTCTTTATCCCAAGCTCCCCTGGAATTCCTGGCAATGCAGTCTCAGTTTTCCAAGTCTAGCCTGTCTATCCAGGGCCAAGCCTGAACCGAGGGGTGGGGCTGGGGCTGCGCCTGCGCAGTCGGTCGTCGCGCGAATTTGAACCGAGGAGGGCGGTGACTCCGCTGGGCCATGGCGGATGCTCCCCGTTTGTCCTTGCAGCTGCTGGAGGCACTTCGCGAGGAGGAGCCACGGTGAGGGCGGCGCGGGCCGGGTCCTCCCCGACCCTTCTGTTCCCCTGGCGGCGAGGAGGGCTGGGGCTATGTAGGTCCTCCTGCAGGGCCGTGGAGGAGCTGCTGCACCTCGGGGCGGACCCCAACCTGGTGCTGGACGGCGGCGTGGCGGCGGTGCACCTGGCGGCCAGAGCAGGCCACCCGCGCGCCCTGCATTGCCTCCGGATGCTGCTGCGCCGGGGCGCCGACCCCAATGCTCGGTGAGGCGTGTTTCAGGTGTGGTGGGTGTGACTTGGGCCTCAGCATCACACAGCTGTCATTCCGGCACTCCAGAGGGTGAGGCAGGAGGATAACCGTGCGTCTCAACTTCCCCATGACCTACCAGAACTTGACCATGGTAGTGGGCACCCAGCATCTCAGCACGGGGACAGTCTGAGGCAGGAGGAGCAGGAGTTCAAGGCTAGCCTGGGAAAGGAGACCCTGCTGGATAACCCCTTTCTCCTGTGGTTCTAGGTCTTCCGAGGCACTGACGCCCATGCACGTCGCCGCCGCATGGGGCTGTCGAGAAGCCTTGGAGCTGCTGCTGAGTAGGGGGGGCGACCCCACTCTTCGAGACCAGGTCAGGACTCTGCCCAGACGCACAAGGGCGGCGGGCGGCGGGCTGCGGGCTGCGGGCTGCGGGCGCCCCCTGTTGACGGTATCTATGCAGGATGGGCTACGACCCCTGGACTGGGCACTGCAGCAGGGACACCACAACTGTGCACACTTGCTGCGGGAGCTGGACACGTCCACCCGAACGCGGAAGGAGACCCCGGGTCCCACAGGTGAGCAGAGCTGGGCCATGCACCCGGCTGCCTCACTGCCAGGTCATTTCCGTATGTCATCTATCATGTCAATGACTGATCCATCACGTGTCTGTCACCTATTTGTCAGTCATCTATCCCCTGTATTATCTATGTCTATATCGTATCTGTTATATCCGTTTATGTTTGACTTACCTGTCTCTCTCTCTCTATATATATAAATCTGTTTATCTATATTTAGAGTTTTCATGTAACCCAGGCTGGCCTTGAACCCACCACATATGCCCAGGACATGTCTTCACAGTGTCTCCTGGAGTCTCTCGGCAGCCATGTGTGTCCTGGGACTCGGAGCTTCGCATGTGCAGAGCTGAACCATTGGTGGCTGCAGTGGACAAGGCTGCAGAGCTCCAGAGCCCTGAGGCTGCCAGGAGCCTGGACTACAGTAGTGATGCCTCCTTCATCACCGCGGTGGAGGACCCTCCACAGCCCTGGTGCCCTGCAGGGATGCGAGGGCTGGTGGCCGACCCAGGGCTGTTCTGTGGGGCTGTAGAGACTGGGGAGGAGGCACCTAGCTGCCAGCTTCAGGCCCTGAAGGTGACCACAGAGGCCACTGACGTCCCTTCCCTACCAGGTGACAGGGACCTACGGGCCTCATACCCCCACAGCCTGGTGTCCCCCATGTCTGACCTGCAGCTGCTCCAGGCCCTTCGAGCACTGGGCCAAAGCCCTGGCCCTGTCACACCTTTCACCAGAGGACATTACCTGCGGAGGCTACAGGAAGCCCAGGCTAGCCCTGGTGAGTCTCTGGGTGGTATTCGGAGTCTGGCTATACTCCTGGAATCCTGAGGCCCTGGCTATAAGACACACTAGCCTTCCCCCTCGGCCCTGACTCAGTTTCTCCTTCCCAGCTGTTGCAGGGCACAGCCCAGAACTGTCCAAGGCACTGAAGACAGGCCACATCCCAGACTGCCAGGCAGATGAGGCCGCCTTGTCTCAGCACTTTGAGCGGCCAGCTCCCTCAAGAAGGTGGCAGGGAGGCATTACAAAGTCCAGTTTTACATATCTTCTTCTGGACCCCAGGTATGATGGTGACAGAAAAGCTGGAGGTTGAGGTCAGAGCAAACAGCCAGGTTCCACCCCTACGGGTAGGTGAGGCACTGCCCCATCTCATCATTCATAAGAACCAGTAGGGTGGACTGTGACTTCCAGGACTGGGTTGTAACAGGGACATTCTGTATCCAACCATAAAAACAAGTAAATCAGAAAACCCCCAACAGACTGGGAATCTCCTTTTGATTTGCCCTGTGTACCTAGGAAACAGGCTAGCCCTCTCTGTTTATCGGATTCTTTAGAAATGGTGTCAGAGTCAATCCTGGCTGACTTTTCTCCTGGCTTATAAAGTAGGGTGCCCTGGCTGTTGGTTCAAATGGCTGTTGTTTTTAACAAAATCTTAATTGTTTGATTTTACCAATACTTGGGAGCCAGATTGAGTGGGGGATGCAAAAGCCTAGTAGCTCAGAGAGGCAGAGAAAGCACCCAGCTGACTTCCTCCTCAGTTGGTGTTCCAAAAGGAAGGCCTAACCCTATCTCTCAAAAAACCCCTCAAACTGAAAGTCCCTCCCTTCTACTTTTTGTGTGTCTCTATCTTGACTTCCTTTTTTTTTTTTTTTTTTTTTTTTTTTTTTGAGACAGTTTCTCTGCGTAGTCCTGGCTGTTCTGGAACTCCCTCTGTAGACCAGGCCGGCCTGGAACTCAGAGATCCTCCTGCCTCTGCCCCCCTGAGTGCTGGAATTAAAGGTGTGTGCTACCACAGCCAGCCTTGACTTCCTCTGTTTTTTTTTTTTTTTTTCCTATGTTCATTGCTCTGCCTTTTGACCTATGATTGATTTTATTTAATTCAAGCAGAAAACTCTTGGATTAAAGGTGTGTGTTAGGGCTGAGCCACACCACAACTAGAAACAGGTTTTTGTAGTAAACGACACAATCTCAGGGTTCACAGTGTGATCAAATACCCTGCATCAATTGGTTCCATGGCTCTGTGAAGACTGGTCATTTTTCCCTTTCTGAGCTTCCCCTCCCCATTTTACATGGTCACATGCACACTGTGGTGCCATATGGAGGTCAGAGGATAATTTGTGGGAGTTTGTTCTCTCCTTCACTCATATAGGTCCCAGGAATGGGACTCAGGTCAATCGAGGTTGGCAGCAGATGCTCTTACCCTCTGAGCCACTCTGTACCCTAGGCTGACACAAGGCCTGCCTGCCCGAGCCTCCTCTCTCACACTGGTCGAGAGTCTGCAGTGTTTTGTGCGAGCCATCTTCTATGTGGGCAAGGGGACCCGTGCTCGGCCAGATACCCACCTCTGGGAAGCCCTGGCCTACCGGGATCAACCAGGGAAACAGGTGAGGCACAAGAGGTCATCTTGGATATGGTGGGTCAGCCTTTAGACAGGGGCGGGAGATGGCTTAGGACCCAAGCTGTGATTCCTCCCTCACCTGTAGGCCTGCCCCAAGGTTCGTAGGATCTTAGACATCTGGGACAGTGGGCGCGGTGTCATCTCCCTGCATTGCTTCCAGCATGTGGTGGCTGTGGAGGCCTTCACACGGGAGGCTTGTCTGCTGGATGCGCTCGGTAGGGATCTAGCTTGTACAGCTGTGGTTGGTAAGCCCTCACTCCTTCATTTTCCTTGCTGACCAAATTCACGAATTCATTCACATGGGGGCAGTTACTGAGCGGTGGAGGGTGGGATGGAGGCTGCTCCTGTGACTTCACCTCTATTCTGTCCAGGGATTCAGACACTGACCAACCAGAAACAAGGCCACTACTACGGAGTTGTTGCCTATTGGTCACCCCCACGGCGTCGACGTCTGGGAGTACACCTGCTGCAGCGTGCTCTGCTAATCTTCCTGGCTGAGGGAGAGCGAGAGCTGCGGCCTCAGGACATCCAGGACCGAGGCAGAGGATGTGACCATGAAGCCTGAGCCATCAGGGTGTCTCAGCATCCCGGGGCAGGTCCCTGTGTGTGTCCCCAGCTCTAGCTTCAGGGGACATAATTTGTGTGTGTGTATGTGTGTGTGTACACGCACATGTTTCCTTAGAATGCATGGTGCTTCTGGATGGGCAGTGAGCTCCCAGTCAGGGGAGGACCAAGGCGAGGAGCAGAAGGTACTCTAGAACATGCTACTTTGTCTCTGTGTTTCTTTTATTTGTTTTATGTATATGAATGTTGTATGCCTGCACACCAGAAGAGGGCACCAGATCTCAGTATTGATAGTTGTGAGCCACTGTGTGGTTGCTGGGAATTGAACACAGGACCTGTGGAAGAACAGCCAGTGCTGTTAACTGCTGAGCCATCTCTCCAACCCTCCATGTCTCATTTTCTGATCTAAGAGCTTGAGTGAGAGATCAGGCTAGGTAGGCCTGGTAGTGGTGGTCCAGCCACTACCATTACCATCCCCCTCACCCCCACCCTGCTTTTGGAAGGCAGAGGAAGGGGATTTCCTAGTTGGAAATCAGCTGGGGAATCTCAGAATGGGGATTGTATTTGGTTAAAGGCTGTTGTGTGTTTGATGGTGACAGTTGTTCCCTGTGGGTGTGTCCACAGTATTGTTGAGGTCCCCACTGTGCTGTGGGAGAACATCTCAGATAAAGCAGAGCTGAAGGACTGACTGGGGACTGCGCATGTGTTTCTCTTTGCTGTCCCAGGCCTGCCCCACTCCTTTATGGCCCTGCACTGTCTCTAGCCCCTTGCCCTCTAAGCATGCAACCTTAGCCAGCATGAAGATGTGGTCTGGATGTGCCCCACCCACCTATTCCTCACCCTTCTCCATCACCATGTGACTGCCTTTCTCCTCCATAAGCTTCAGGAAGGTGCAGAGCAGGACCTGGCAGTCCTTCCTGCTGTCCACCCTTCAGCCCCTCACAGGAGGACGCCTGGGATGGCCTGTCACTCCGCAGGAGACTCACCTGGTATTCCTTCTCTCAGTCAACACCCTTTAAGCGCCTACAGTATACCCGGATATAGGATCTTTCAACCTTGGCTCTGCTGACAGTTATGGTTGGGTTGTAGCTGTGGGGGCATCATCTTTGTTGTAGGGTGCTGGACAGTCTTCTTTGGTCCCAATCCTCTGCAGATGCCAGGGAAGCTCTGCCCTCCTCCCCCAGAAGGCTGCCCACCTGTTTTGGGCCACATCCACCTGGAAGCTCCACTGAAGAAAACAGTCTCTTTCCATAGTGCTCAGTGACCATCCTGTTCCGGCACTGGCCACTCCCCGGAAGCCTGTTCACCTGTAGCCAGTGCTCATTCATAAACCATACCCAATTAAAACTGAGCCACATCAAGGCTGTTGCCTAGAAGCCTCACTCACCCAGAGACCCTGTTCTCATCATTTTTGGCTGCTGCTTCAACAGGAGTGGCTTCAAACCAGCAATCCTCCAGCCTCAAGGGCGAGCTGAGGGCTAATTGTAGGCCGGGTACCCAGTTTTCAAGACAGGGTTTCTCTGTAGTTCTGATTGATGGGTGGTTTGCTGTGCTTAGACAGGGGATGGCCCTCTCGTGGTCATCATGTCTTTTGTAAATGTTTTGGTAGGTGTTGGTGGTGGAGGCCTGTGGTCCTGATAGGAGGGTCAGGAGCTCAAGGCCCAGTTCAGCCATAGATTATGTTAGAGTCATCTTCAATTGTGTCTCACAAAGCAAAGAAATAAAACTCAAAGCCAGAAATCTGTTGCATTGGCACCATGCTGTGAGTGCATTTGCAGCCTGTCATACTCAGGTCCTACAGAGCCTCATTTTGTACCTGCACTTAGGGATAGTCCCCAGGGAGCTTCATCCTGTGTGGACTCAGGCCTGCTCTAGCCAGGTGTTCGGAACTAACAACGTGACCTGCAATAAGTGTCCCACAGCCCAGCACTCGCTTTGCACAGGTGTTCATGGTTCTGTGTCTCCCTCTCCAGTTGTGGATGAACTTTGCTAGATAGGTAGAGAGCTTCCTTTGGTGGTCGTGGGCCACAGAAGGTACTCTAGAACATCCCAGTGCATCATTAGGTTGTATCATCCTAGGGAGCAAGAGGAAAGGAAGTATCCTAGCTGCCTGCTGCTGTGAGGAAATACCCCAGCTAACACAGGTGAGAGGGGAAGGGCTATATTGGCTCACAATGGTAAGCTACAGTCTAGTTTTAGGAAAGTCAAAGCAGGAACCCTTGCTGCCACATCACAGTCAAAACCAGAAAAGACAGCCCCATGCTGCCATGCTTGTTCATCGTGGGCTATTTTCTTCATGTTACACAATTCAGAGTCTTGCTTATGGAATGTGCTGCCAATGGTGGTGGTGGGGGCTGGGCAACCAACAATCAAGACAAAGCTCCATAGACATCCACTTTCATTCTGATCTGGTAATTACTAATAGTCTGTTCTGTGGCCTGGAGAGATGACTCAGTGCTAAGAGCAGTGGCTGCTCTTGCAGAAGATTGGGCTCAGTTCTCAGAACCCATAGGGCAGGTCACAACCTCTTGACAACCCAGCTGCAAGGGACCTGATGCCCTCTTCTGACCTCCATAAGCAATTGCAGTCATGTACATATACATATAATTAAAAATAAAAGTTTCTGGGTGTGGTGGCATGCATCCTTAATTCTAGCATTTGGGAAGTAAGGGCAGGAGGGTCTCTGAGTTCAATGTCAGCCTGGGTTACATAATGCGACCCTGTCGAAACAAAGACCTCACAGGTCAAAGGCTTCCCAGATGAGTTGAGATTGTAGCAAGCTATATAAGAGCTTGTCTAACACACACGTACATGTGCATGCACAAATAGATGGTCATTGCACACAATTCTGTGTGTCTGTCCAAGTGTCATCTGCAAGAAGAGGAACCTTTTCAGAACTCAAAAGTCATGGGAGGTGCTGTAGAGATATTTAGAGCCTCAGGCACAATGGTCTGGGGAGCTGAGAGCAGAGACAAGCACTCGGGCCCAGGACTCAGCCAAGGCCTGGAAAAGCAAGACAAAGGGATGATAGAAGTTGGCAAAGCTGATTGATGATGGGCATTCATAGAGACATCTCAACATAGGAAGAGGTCACATCACTTTGGTCAGATAGTCACATTCATCAGATGACTTGAGTTCACATTATTACATTCATTTCATTAGCGGAGCATTAGAATTAGAATGCAGGTTAGGGTTCAAATTCAGATTTGGTTGCCTAAGCATGTCCAAGCAATTCAGCATAGGGTGGCTTAGCACAAACAAAAAATTCCTTCATCACTTGCTTCAGGGGGTTTTGTATCTGTGAATTTGGTTAATTAGAAGAATTGTTGAAATGTTCTTATTTGGAAGCATAGTTTAGAATACAGTATATTTACCTCTCCCTAAACTTGTTCAAGCCACTGATCACATTGCGTCTTTGCAGAGAAACTGATAACTCTTTTATAACTAAACCTGATGGCACTTTCCAAACATTTATTTAGTAAATATACATCCATAAGCTTGTTAGCATTGGAAGAGTCATACAAACATTTCTATGTGAAAGCACAGTGAATGCTACAGTACATTTACTTCTGTCTAAGCTTGATAAAGCAATTAACCAAATGGTGTCTTTGCGAGAATCAATAAACTTAATACCAAAACTGTAGGATACCTAACATTTCTTTAAGGTGTTTTCGTACATCTGGGAACATGTCAGTATTGGAGCACTTGTAGATACACAAATTTGTGCAAGGACATGGACTAATGTGGTACTGTTACTTGTGCCTATGTTTCTTCCAGTAATTAACCACATGGACATTTTGACAAAACAAAACAACAACAACAAAACACCTTTGTAACAAAAACTTGCTTAGGGTTAGAGTTAGATTTGGATTTAGGGTGAGGGTTAGGATTAGGAATTTTGGTTAAGGTTGGTGTTAGGGTTGGTGTTATTGTTAGCTCAGTAACAACTTCCATGCTTTACACTCCTTCGGTAACACTGCTCAATGCTCTTCTCTTCTTAGCTCCATAACATGGCTCGATGCTCTTTGCTCAGTAACAAAGCTCCATGCTCTTTTCTCAGCTCGTTAACACTCCATGCTCTTCTCTTTTTAGCTCAGTAACACTGATTCGTGCTCATCTGTCCTTAGATCGGTAACACCTCACCATGATCTTCTGTCCTTAGCTCAGAAACACTGCTCCATGTTCTCTCCTTAGCATGGTTTTGCCACTCCATGCTCTTCTCTCCTTAGCTCAGTAACACAACTCTGTGCTCTTTTCTACCTAGCTCGAAAACACTGCTATCTGCTTTTCTCCACTAAGATCAGAAACACTACTCTGCTCTTCTCTACTTAGCTTTGTGCTCTTCTCTAAAAGCTTGGTAACACTTCTGTGCTCTTCTCTCCTTAACTCGAAAACACTGTTCTGTGCTCTTTACTCCTTAGCTCAGAAACACTGCTCTGTGTACTTCACTTGGAAACAATGCTCTGTGCTCTATTCTACTTAGCTTGAAAAACTGCTCTGCTCTGTGCTCTTCTCTACTTAGCTTGGTAACACTGCTTGATACTCCTGTCTCCTTAGCTTGTTAACACTGTTCTGTACAACAGAACACTACTCCATGCTCTTCTCTCCTTACCTTAGAAGCATGTTCCATGCTCTTCTCTTCTTTGCTTGGTAATACTGCCTGTGTTCTTCTCTCTTTAGCTCAGTAATACTGCTCCATGCTCTTCTCTACATAACTTGGAAACTCTGCTCTATGCTCTTCTTTCCTTCTTTTGGAAACACTGCTCTGTGCTCTTCTCTACTTATCTCAGACACATTGCTTTCCATCCTTAATTGGTAACACCTCTCCATGCTCCTCTCTCCTTAGCTCTGCTACACTACTCCATGCTCTTCTCAGCTCAGTAACACTACTTAATGTTCTTCCCTCCTTAGCTCATTAACATTGCTCTGTGCTCCTCTCTCCTTATCTCAGGAACACTGCACCATGCTCTTCACTCCTTAGCTTGTTAACAATGCTCTATGCTTTTTAGTCCTTAGCTCAGTAACACTTCTTCATGCTCTTCTATCCTTAGCTCAGGAACACTGCTATGTGCTCTTCTGTTCTTACCTCTAAAACACTGCTCCATCTTCTTCTCTACTTAGGTCAGAAACACTGCTCTGTGCTCTTCTCCTTTTAGCTTGGAAACACTGCTCTGTCCTCTCTTAGTTTGGAAACATTGCTCTGTGCTCTTCTCTTCTTAGCTCAAAAATACTGCTCTGTGCTTGTCTCTCCTTAGCTCAGTACCACTACTCTGTGCGTTTCTCTTCTTAGCCAGAAATACTGCTCTGTTCTCTTCTCCACCAACCTTGGAAACATTGCTCTGTGCTCTTCTTTCTTTAGTTTGGAAACACTGCTGTGTGCTCGTCTCTCCTTAGCTTGAAAACACCGCTTTGTTCTCCTCTCTACTTAGCTTGGTAACACTGCTCTGTGCTCTTCTCTTTCTTCACTCAGAAACACTGTTCTGTGCTCTATTCTACTTAGGTCGAAACACTGCTCTGTGTGCTTTACTTAACTTGGAAACACTGCTCTGTGCTCTTCTCTATTTGGAAACGCTGTTCTGTGCTCTTCTCTACTTACCTCATTAACACTGCCTTTTGCTCTTCTCTACCTAATCCAGTCACACTGCTCCATGGTCTTTTCTCCTTACTCGGTAACACCTCTCCATGCTCCTCTCTCCTTAGCTCTGTGCTTTTCTTTCCTTAGCTCAGAATCACTGCTCTGTGCTCTTCTCTACTTAGCTTAAAAACACTGCTCTGTGCTCTTCTCTACTTAGCTCAAAAACATTGCTCTGTGCTTTTCTCTCCTTTGCTTGGTAACTGCTTGCTAATCCTAGCTCCTTAGCTCATTAACACTGTTAAGTGCACCTCTTTCTTTAGCTCAGGGACACTGTTTCATTCTCTTCTCTCCATACCTTGGTAACCCTGTTCCATGCTCTTCTCTTCTTAGTTTGGTTACACAGTTCTGTGTTCTTCTTTCCTTCTTTTGGAAACACTACTCCATGCTCTTCTCTCCTCAGCTTGGTAACAGTACTTGATGTTCTTCTCTAATTAGCTTGCTGACATTGCTTTGTGCTCCCCTTTCCTTATCTTAGAAATACTGTACCATGTTCTTTGCTCCTTAGCTTGTTAAAAATGCTCTATACTTTTCAGTCCTTAGGTTGGTAACACTTCATCTCTTCTATCCTTAGCTCAGGAACATTGCCATGTGCTCTTCTCTCCTTAGCTAGAGAACACTGCTCTGTCTTCTTCTCTACTTAGGTCAGAAACACTGCCTTGTGCTCTTCTCCTTTGAGCTCAGAAACACTGCTCTGTTCTCTTCTCTCCTTAGCTCAGTACCACTGCTACATGCTCTTCTCTCTTTAGCTCAAAAACACTGTTCTGTCCTCTTCTCCACTTAGGGCAGAAACACTGCTTGTAAACACTGCTCTGTTCTCTTCTCTCCTTAGTTCAGAAACACTGCTCTGTGTTTGTTTCTCCTTAGCTCATTACCACTGCTCTGTTCTCTTCTCTGCTAGTTCAGTAACACTGCTTGCTAATCCTATCTTCTTAGTTCATTAACACTGTTCAGTGCACCTCTTTATTTAGCTCAGGGACAGTGTTCCATTCTCTTCTCTCTATACCTTGGTAACCCTGTTCCATACTCTTCTCTCCTTAGCTTGATAAC